CAATGATTAGCATATTCCTAATTCATTCTTGTTTACATCCTGATATCAGAAATATCTCATCAGACTCCAGTAACCGTGGCAACCACATTATATCACCGATCTGGTTATCTATCAGTACTTAACCAATGAAGGATGATGATCTAGGGACTTTATAATGTGATCTATTTCAGCTTGATGAAATCATCAAATTTATCGAATTTTTATAATAGGTATAGGGAAATAGGTTATATCCCGAGGTTTTCCAGGAGGATTAAGTTAGAGGCCATGAATTTGCTATATCCTGGTGCTTTATCCACAAAAGTACATTTAGTACTGGATTAAACATTTCCAAAACATAACACAGCTTTTAGCCAGATTTATATCAGTTTGGATCAAAAACAAAACTTGAAGCTAATAGCCTTGAGTTTGTGGTATTGATCTCTGTATACATCGTTGCTATGGAGATTCATCTGATCATACTGTAAAACAGGTTAATTACTTACATTTTGAATTTGATATTGGTTTACTGTATGTCATTAATTTTCCATGTCAAATTCATTGTTTTTCCATAACATCTATGGATAATATTCTGGAAAGGGAATCCAAAATACTCAGAGTTTATAAAAAGTATATTTGTACTGTACATGTACTTAAATGTGCTTTAGAGTTACAGTCATAATTGTTAGAACCCTTTAGTATGGTTGTAAGTTGGTTTTGTTAAATATGAAAAGCATTATAACCCCCCCCCCCTCCCTTCCCCTCGTCCATTTATTTGTTCTTTATTAATGTGATAGTACTTCAGTATTGAAGGAGAGAATTCCATGGAACTATAATATGAGATCTAATAAGGTTTTATAGGAACCAATGATTTGATAAAAATCTCCAATGTGATATTGATGCTGTAAAATAACTGATACTGAATGAAAATTGGTTTTGAATGTGATTGAGGTATGATTATTGCAATAACTCATCATATTTTTTTTCTGAAATTAGTGCAGTAATAAAAGTATAAATATTTTAAAGTGACAGTATGTTACGTAGGAAAAGGCTTTGAACTTTTCGGTTCATGATACCATTATTATTAGATATTAGTTTAAAGTTTAAAAATCGTTGATTAAAGTGTCAGCTGTGACATATACAATTAAATACAACATAGTATAAAAAACATTAAGTACAAGTATACGAGACATATCAGTAGACAAGTATATGAGACACCATCAGTTCAGATCAATATAAAGTAAAGTTTGATATTCAAACATAGCTAGGCAAGGTCAGTGTCTGATTCCAGCCAATCCAAATACAGTATTTCATATAACTGCAGTGCATTATAAAGCCAATCACCACATCCAAGATCATTCCTTATGTGGTTGTCAAGGTGGCAGCTTAATTCTACAGATTGAAATTGATACTTTGCCAATTTGACCCTTGCAAAAAGTTTCATTGAAAATCTGTTCTTTTAGTGATTTTAGTGGCATGGTAGAAAATATTTTGCAATGTATGAAGAGAATTTAAGCCCAATACTCAATGCATCTTGGAATGACCACTGTTTTCAGATGTTGTTTTCTAAAATTAACATTCGATAATACGTTTCTCGTGCAAAATTTGGAAATTAACACCTTCGAGGAATGGTCATTCCACATTGCACCGTTTCTATGATATAAAACTAGAACTGAAATCCAATGGTACGATCATATGCCCTTGGGGTTTAATTTGCGTCGGCTACTTTAAGATCCTTGTAACGCCACTCATGTTTTCCCTGAATAGGACTTGCTGCTTCAAGGCTAAATTATTTTGACAAACCAATTGATGAACGGGGGACTTATCATTCTGTGTTTTGAGAATTAAATCAATCAAATCCAAGGAGAAATCTCTGTATGCAGTTCAGTGATCTCCCCAGCATTAAAGCAAGTAGGTGCTGCGCCCACTTGAGATTTTAATAATAGGTTTGTACCTACCTGAAAATCCATTTGCACACACTTGAAAATGAGAAAAAATCATAAAAATGAGCAAACTCAGACCTAAATTCATCTACATGTAAATGTGGTATAAATTATTCTGAAAATAGGAATTTTTCACCCACTTGAGAAAAAATCTACCCTTTGCATTTGTTCGACTTCACCTCTTAAAAGAGAGCTTTGTTCTCACTCTTTCAATTTACAATAAATCTCTGATCTCACCGAGCCAATCAGAGTTCGTCGTTGAAATACGGAGGACTTTCTACATGGTCATTTCCTCTGGCATCACCGCATATATGAGCACATATTTAGCATGTGTTCCTTCCACTTTGCTGATTGGTTGAGAAAGGATCAGCTTGGTAGATTTGAAATGATTTATAACCCGGGCTGTCACAGGCACCAATCTTTGGAATGGGGCTGCTAAACTGTAATATAGTCTTTACTAGGCAGAGGGTAGTTTAAAACTAGACTCTGCGTGCAGGGTAGAAAAAATCCAGGGTGAATACTGCAGTTATTCCTGGTATAGTTTCAAGGTGAAATTCAACAGCTCTGAAGCGTGGTTCAGATATATCTTAGGGATGCTTTCATCCACTGTAGTTATGGTAACCTCATAAATAAGAAAATTGCTTCATGTTTAAGTGGCTTTGATTATAAAGGTGAACCAGACAAATAAACAAGATTTTTATGTTAGTTTTATTACTGAATAATAATCCATACTAATAACTTTTTGTTTATCAAGTTGTAAAAAAATGATATAAATTCATGCAATAAAATATTTTGACATGTTAAGAAAAAGGAATTAAATGGCATTTCAAATTGCAATTTGATTACATAATAACATGGTTAGATTAATTCTTCAGATGCTTATTAAATCAAAAATTGGAAAATTTAACATTTTGGGTGCACACATCAAAAAATTAAACATTTGAACAATATAAAACAGTAAAATCAGAATAAATCTGTACCAGCTCTAATATGGTATCCCATGTTCAATAAAACAAGCCAAAACAATTCAAATAAAGACAACAGTTCTGATATCGTATTCAGCTCACTAACTCTTTAAGCAGTTCCTACTTCATCAATCCTTAGTTCCGTTCAATCTGACCAAAAATGTGTTCAATTATCGGGTTTTGCTCATGAATCAATACTAAGTCATGTTGACCTTTGTCAGTTACATAATTATCCTATCCTTTTGATTGAGAATGTTCATTTAATAAATTAATACCTATCGGATTCGTTTGAGTTCTTCAATGATGAATTTCTGGTAAATAGATAAATGGTTGAGAAAATTTCATTGCAATCAGTTTGAATTTGATTTATGACCACTGGCAGAAAGGGCGGAGCTGCTAAGGTAAAATTGTCTAACCTGTTCAAAGGCTAGAATTACATGTAGAAATAAACTCTTTGCTCGGAGTAGGCAATGAACTAAATGTCAGCCTCTGCAGCCTGACAACAATCTCATCAATAATGATGTTAATTTAGAACCCTGTATATATCATAATTTTGTCATACTGTACATGATATTGAAGGAACAAAACCATATACAAAATCTTATAAAATAACATTTTGGCTGTGTATAATATAGCACCAGTCTAATGGCTTATAATCATAATCCATATAGCGTTATTGATGTGCCTTAATCTCTCATCAGAGTAATTATTTCATTCTAGAAATATGAGATTAGTCCCAGGGTTCTAATTCACTACATTTCACAATAATATGTCTTACTTAATATAAAGGGGTTTCCTGGTACCCAGTAATTATCTTTCTTAACCTTTACCATGCTGCCTTATTTCAGCAAATATATCCCACGCAACTGGCTTATTTTTCAAAGAGTGCAAAAAATGATATGCCTGGACTAAATAATTAATATCTCAATAACTACTGAATGAATCTGGATAAAATTTTCACAAAGGGAAGATACAGTGGCCTGGCTCATGAAAAAAAATGTTCTCATGAATTTTTTTCGTACATTAACACGACTGGGCATAAATATACCATGAATACTCCTCCGGAATCCGCCGCTCCGCCTCTTCGTCTGGTCAGAATCCAAATCTGAATTTGCAGCGATCGAATGTTCAATTTTTCAATTCAGAAAATATTCTAGTTTCTATTTTCGATGACCGTTATTGGCTTCCAAGAGCCTAAAGAGCTCGAAATCGTAATCCATTTCCTCCACATTTTCGTTGTGATCGTATTTGTCCACCATTTTGTACGATTCGTTCACTAAAATCGACTAAAACACTGTTTAAATTGTTGAATTGAGAATTATTTTTCGAAATATCGCCATTTCTAGGTCAACAGGAAGTCATGTTAGGCACTGAATAAATCGGGCAATCTAATTGGACAATACGAATGGCGCGAAAAAGTACAGTTTTTAAAAGTTTGAAATCGGGCGTACGGGTCCGCCGGCAGTTGTGAGAGACATTTTAGTCTGGGCGGACGCGTCCGCCGGCAGCACGCTAAAGGTTAAAGGGTCTCAATTGAGCGTGTGCTGAATTTATCACCCATGGTGCTGTTCACTCTATCACCCTCTGTACAGAATTCAGTTGGGCTTGTACAGCAATAGTCTCCATTGCAAATTGCAAATAATAACACCTAGTCTGTCCACCCTGCAGTCTCTTATGATTGTGGCTATGTGGACTCACTGGTAGCTCAGAAATAATATTTTTGCTTGAGTAAATTGCCAACATCTGTGCACTTGCAATCAATTGAGTTTCAATTTTTTAAATGTTTCATCATATTGTTTGCAGTTACCATCTCTGAACACCATATATAGTCATATGTCCATTATAAAGAAATCATTGCATGTTCAAAATGGCCTTGCTTTTCTAGATGTGTTTTAATCTGTATGAGGTATATCACACTTCGGCATTTTCTATATGTGCATAATACATTTTGAAAGTTATGATAAATGTACTCATTGAACCAAAATGGTTCCAAAATAACTAGAGTACCATTTGAATGAATTACCAATGTCTATGCTTGCATTTACTGGCAGTTATCAATGCTTCTATTGGCAGGTACCTATTGGCAGGTACCAATGCATCTATTGGCAGGTGGTACCTATCGGCAGGTACCAATGCATCTATTGGCAGGTATCAATGCATCTATTGGCAGGTATCAATGAAACAATCTCCAGAGCAACATTCCAAGGCACAATCACAAGGAGAACCAGCCAAAAAACATGTGGCAGCATCTGAAAGAGAATTAAAGCTGGATGATGGAACATATCATTAGGCGAGACTGTCATAGTTTTACAATATATGGGGTGAGCCAAAAAGGCAACCCAAACAAATGTATGTTAACAATAAGACTATTATATATGTACCTATCTAAGTCCTATTCCATGCCTAATCAGACTGACAAGTCCTTGATTGATAAAAGGTATGATGAATATCTAAATGATTTACCTCTTACAGTACATACAGTGGCGGTCCCATCCCATGCACCTGTAGACTGACAAGTCCTTGATGCACTACCACTTAGAATATAACCACAGTCACACTCAAAGTTTATCACCCCCAAATATGTGTTCCCTGTTGTACTGGTTATGGCCCCATTCGTTGGGGTGGCTAATGTGCCACAATTGACAACTGGAATAAATAATATGAGTTAGATTAAGGCAGATTTGAAACCTGCCACATGTATAGCGTGCAGTGCTACTCCTTGTTCACTTAACATCGCCTGTTACAGCAAAACATGTCAAAATGCTTAGTAACAAAAACTTCTTACTTACTAGAGAACTGCAATTCATATCTATTAAACATACTAGTACAAAATGCTGTAGTGCCACTCCACGCCCCATTGGCCTGACATGTCCTTGTGGCGCTGCCACTGAATGTGTATCCAGTGTTACATCCAAATGTGATGACAGACTGATACGTTGTAGTTGTCCCAGTTTGGAATCCATTTGTTGGAGTAGCCAATGCTCCACAGTCAACAACTAGAATGGAATCAGATGATTGGTTAATTTAATTTCGTTTAATTAAAGTATTAAATAATTAAGTATTAAATGGTAGTTGATGTTTACATTATTTCAATTGTGGATTATCAGTGAACACTGGGAGTTCACATGACTTGAATCTGTGACCTCTGGCCAATGATGGCTACTCCTAGCTTGAAGTGCCAGCCTTCAAGACACCCAAGTCAAATTCAAACCCCTCATTTGTGATGCTCGATCCCCAGCTCGTTAAAAATGGCATCGCCAAGAAGATGCGACATATTTTAATGCCAACATTTTCGTGACTGGCATTCAGTGTCAGCACTCTGTGATGATAGCTGCAGTGGTGACATTTTGCCATCTTCTGTATACTTACTGGTACATACTGTTGCTGTTCCACTCCAATTTCCATCTGACTGGCATGTTCTGATAGAGCTTCCACTAAGTGTATAGCCAGTGTCACATGAGAATACAATTAGGTCACCAATTGTGTTGCCTGAGGTGCCATCTAGGGAACCATTTGAAGGTGCTCCTAGAGCCCCACAGAATATCACTAAAATGAAAAATATTATGTTCAAACAGTTTACTTATGATAGTAAGCCACATATTCTCCATCTCTCTCTCTTAGACTTCATTTTTCTGCTATAGAACAGAGAGGTGCTATGAGTATCAGATTGACTTTTTATTATTAATATTTTTCCTCAGGTTACATAGATTCTTTATTAGACTCTAAATGCTTTTGTTTTTGGCATATGATGACTTGAATACACAGATGAATATTATAGTCATGCATCTCATGTCATGTGAGAAGAAATACAGAAAAGCTGGAGAAAATACAATTTACTGTTATAAGGCATTATGCATTTAAAGTAGTGATCACCGCCATTAGAGCATTAGAGATTCCAGTACACTACAAATCCCACAAAACACTTTGTTATGAATTTTTGTATATCACTCAGAAGTTGTCAGAAGTTTTGGAACACCTCTCTTATTTACCTCCATTGCGGCGAGGTATATAACCGTAGCTTTGATGTTTGTAGTCATTACGTGGGCCATGCTGGCTGTGACCTTTACTGCTGTACCATCCACCATAGTCATCTAGTATCTGTTCATGTTTACTTGATTCGTCATTGGGTCCATGTTCATATCTGGTAGTGTGATCATGTAATGCCTCATCACCCTTAATGCAATTATATTTTGATCACATATACCTGTCTAATCTGAAGATCACAGGGATTATATGCAAAACTGGATAGGTTAGCAGGTTTTCATATTTCATTGTATATATATAATTTAACATGGGATTCTGTGAGAGATTAAAACTAAATTAAGATGTTTTAAGACAGTTCAATTAGACTACATTAGATCACATTCAAAATTGAAAGTAATCCATTATCTAATTCTGAAATGACAATTACCTTAATAAGTAATCTTATGTATAAAACTAGTTTTAATATAGATACTATATTTGATACTCACGTTTGTATGTAATTGTTCATCATGATCTAGATCATGTTGTTCGTTACAAATTTGACAGTCATTGTGGTCATGCATAGGATTCGGATATACAGTGTATAATGTATCAAGACTACTGCCCAGATTGTTCAAATGCTGTCTTGATTGCATATTGTTCACATTGCCATTTGAGTTACTTTGTTGATTATATTTTGGGTCATGTTTCCTGTAATCTTTTCCAGTATTTCTACCCATAATAGGGTTTCTTTTGGCATGTTTATTGTTGGAGAAGTAATCTTTCCAAAAGTCATCAGTGTTTAGCATTCCATGATTATCATGTCCACTGTGTATTTGTTCCTCTGCATTATCATTATGTTTAATATTATGATCCCCACTTTTGAATATTTCAAACTCATTTCCATTTTTATTCTCTCCACTATATTTATATTGGTGGGATGTTTCACCATATGAGTCTCTTGTTGTATCTCTGGATGCTGTAGTATCTACATGTATTATAGTGCTAATGGGGATTGCACTGTCTCTTGGTATTGTAATGTCTCTGGATATTGTTGAAGTGTTTGTAGGTATTGCACTGTCTCTTGGTATTGTAGTCTCTCTGGATATTGAAGTGTTTGTAGGTTTTGTACTATCTCTTTGTATTGTGTTGACTTTAGGTATTGTAGTCTCTCTAGGTATTGTAGTATCTCTTGATATTATACTGTCTCTTTCTATTGTAGTGTCTCCATGTATTGAAGTATTTGTAGGTATTGTACTGTCTTTGGCTATTGTAGTATTTATGCGTATTGTAAATGCTGATGTTTTGTTTGCTATGCCTAAGAGCACTAATCCAAAAAATAACACCCTCCTTACTTTGATATGTAGAAAACAATAATATCTCTCATTATTTGTGTCCATCTTTCTTTAGTTTGTCCTTTACTGAAGAATATACACTTAAGATAACACACAATAGTGCTACTAATAGTGCTAATTTTTACTTTGTTCACTAGTGACATATTTGAAATAAAAATGCTAAATCAGATATTGAATGATCAAATAAATATTGTATTTAATGGCAGTCAATCACATGTCAGTGATGTAATGGATGATATGATATATATTTGGACTTGACCTGGAGACACAAAACATACAATCAATTTGTGTATAATTTGTGTTTAAAATTGTTATCTGTAAAAAGTATTCCGATAGATATTACATTTTAATTTCAATTAATAGTTTTGGATTTAACGTGATGAAAGCTTTTGACCCCTCTCCCTTTTGACTCTTCTCTCCTTCTCAGAGTGCAATAATGGAGAGGACTGGTGCAGGGTTTCATTGCAAGACTACTTTCTGACTATAATGCTCATGCAAAGATGTCCTTGTGAATATGTATAGATGACTAAGTCAGTGTAATGAATGTATTAAGATTTTCTTCTTAACCGTTTCATATCATTTGAAACGGTTTTATTATGTCATCGCGAGAAGTGGTGACATATTGTTACGTACATATAGTCTCAACCTTTTTGTAGGCAACGGTTGGTGTTTGGCGTCTGTAACAAATTCTCACAGCATTTGTAACAAATGGCAGGTGGTGACATTTTGTATGTTAATGCCTTGTTAACTTTTTTTTATTATTTTACATTGGACCATATTTTCTATATTACATGAAATAATTGACACTAGTACTATTAATAAAATTGCAGCCAATGGTCTAGACCAATTGATATTGCCCTAAAGGTTTGGTCATTAACCTAAATACTAAATAGGTGATTGTAAGTTCAATTAAAAATAGTCAACCCTTCTTTCAGTCTATCCATCCATAATTTGGTCAAGCCAATAACTCAAATACCAGTAGATTGATTTTTATTTTTTAAGATGAATAAGATTAAAGTATGAAAAAGGAATATAGTTAATGCATTTGTAGTATAAGTAGACATTTTTTTATATTTCAGAAAATATGAATATCATTACTGCATGAAAATTTGGGAGTATTCATTATGTTCACTTTGCGTTATTTTTGGTAAAACACTATTAATTTTCAATCTCTTTAGTTATGGGATACATGTACTTAAAATGCTGCCCAATAAATATTGAAACAGTTTGTAGCATATAAATTCACAAAATATCCATTTGTCCTGCAGCTACAGACTGAAACATTTGGCCTTTGGACATATATGATGTGCAGAAAAAGGCAATTGATTTATTATACAAGTGATGATATGATAACTTTTTTGTTTATCTGTATATAGGAATACAGAAAATGCAATATTTTAAGATTTAGATAAAAAAAAGTCATTTTGTATTTCACAAATCGTAATAAATGTTCTTTTAATTTCACAAATGATAATGAATGTTTTTTTGTTTTTCACAAATGATGAGAAATGTACCTTTGTATCTCACATATGATAATAAATGTTTCTTTGTGTTTTCAGCGGAGGACCCCCATGAAGGCCAAGGTCTATGTGGCACTATCTTGTCTGTGCTTTCCTGGGTGCTAGTCGTGTGCACCTTTCCTCTGTCACTCTGTGTCTGCATAAAGGTAAATATTTTGTCAGTTTGTCATCCCCTGTATCATTTTTCATCTAAATCACATATAAAATGAAGGGGTAAAGCCAAAATGAAAGTCATTTTTATAATTATAGAGGTTTTGGTGTGGCCCTATGTAAAACATTTTTGCTTCATAGTTTACCAACTGAAATGACATTTTTATTAAATTCATGATCATCTTCAAGAATAAATTACATCTTTCATTAAGGGATGGGGGTAAAGTCAAAATGAAATTTATAATATATATTTTCTTTATGCAGGTTGTTCAAGAGTATGAAAGAGCTGTTATATTCAGGCTGGGTCGCTTGTTAGCTGGTGGAGCCAAAGGACCAGGTAGGTTAAGGTTCATTATATTAGAAATGAGTTGCTTTATTGTATCAATTTTCTGGGTGTAACATGAACAATTGATGAAGGTAGATGAAATTTAATGTTGTCAAAGCCTTTTCAAAGGGTTGATGAATGTTGAGTCCTGTATAGATTGATATGCTGACCAAGCTTTTAAATTGACATTTGTTTCAACACAACTACTCAATGGTGGTTTGCCTTCAATAAAACTACAATACAATATAATACAATACAGTACAGTACAGTACAGTACAGTACAGTACAGTACAGTACAGTACAGTACAGTACAGTACAGTACAGTTCACTACACAGTACAGTACAGTGCAGTGCAGTGTGGTGCGGTTGGTACAGTACAGTACTGTACAAAGAAATGTCTCAATTTTAACAGCATATAATATCTATAAAGGTTTACAGACCTTATGGCAACAGTGATTTAGGAACCATTTGTCCTGTTGTTTTCCTATATGCAAAAAATATTGAGGGAGACCAAGAAAATTGGTAAATGTTAGAAACGACATAATTTAACCTAGTTCTTGACCTTTGACCTAGATTAAAAGTTGACCTAATTTTCCATCATCCCAGATACATTTGAGACTGTACTAACTATTTCAATGTTTCAGGTATATTCTTTGTGTTACCCTGTATTGAGGCCTATACTAAGGTGGATCTGAGAACTGTGTCATTTGACGTTCCCCCTCAAGAGGTGAGGTGCCTTTTTATTTTAAGAAATATCAACCCTTGATATATAATTAGCCATTATGTCCCTATTATTGAATATATGGCTGAAGTCTGTTATCAATATAGCCTGAGCTTCCGGGGGCTATATTACAAGAGACTGCAGGAATATATTTAATGATACGGACATAATTGTTGTATTACATACCTTTATTTCCATGTCTACTTTACAATATCAATCATGTCACATCTGTGTGCGAGTGGAATTTTGAGAAATGAAACATGACGTCATAAGATTGTCATAGTAATATACATTTATAGCCAACCTTCAGCTCCATTGACTCTCATACAAATGCTTTTCTAGGTATGTAATACATGCAACTACTGCAATAGACTGGATGGATCAGGGGGGGGGGGGGTATTACACCTGTTTTTGCTAAATATTGACTTTTTGTGAATATTTTGAAATACATGTATATGATATGCCTAGGAGTTTATGGAAGCTCTCAATTTTTATAGATTATTTAGACAAAGTAAAACTCTCAAAAGTAGCTGCATATACCAAGGGGGATATTTACATGTAGTTCTGCACAATTTCTACAGTCAGTTGTGTTTGTGGCTTGTTCATCATCCATTATACATTTACTACAATTATTACAATTACATGAATTGCCTAGCGCAATATGCATTATAGCTTTTTGCAGTGATCTCCCCAGCATTAGAACAAGTGGGTGCAGCACCCACCTGAGATTTTAAAACAGCTTGCACCCACCTGAAAATCTATTTGCACGCACGCACTTGAAAATGAGAAAAATTCATGAAAATCAGCCATATTTTGACCAAATTTGGCTTAAAGTGTGAATTTTAGAATTTTGCACCCACTTGAGATAAAATCAAATCCTGGGGAGATCACTCAGGTTTTGCATTGAACGTAGAAGAAATTGAAGTTCATACAAGAAAGCTCATTTGATGCTTACCCCACTTAGTGGTGAGAAATAAATCAGAATAAAATGAATTAGTGGCCTGTTGGTAAAAGTCTATGGCTAAGGTATGATGGTTTCACTTTTCCCCATCAGATTTGATTGTTGTGCTAGATTGCATATACAGCTGTAGTCTGTTAAGACCCCTTGAAAATCAACCTCAAACTGTGATTATTAACTGCAGGAATATGTTCCATCTGAAGGTTAAACTTAACCTAAATTGACAGGTAAATAAATGATCTCTCTTTAGAGATTAAACTAGGGCAATTATATCCAGTTATGGAAACGTTAGAGGTAACCTAGAAATTGGAAGATGTTCTCCGCATTTTTCAAAATGACTGGTGGAAAATTTTGCTCAAAATTTGTGAGTGGTGCTCTATTAAAACAAAGACAAAATTTGAGTATTTTTATTTATAACAATAGAGGTAACCTAGAAATTGGAAGATGTTCTCCACATTTTTCAAAATGACTGGTGGAAAACTTTGATGAAAATTTGTGAGTGGTGATGGTATTAAAACAGTGGTAAAATTAGAGTACTTACATGTACATGTACGTCAAATAACCATGATGATCTGTCTAAAATTGGGTAGTTTAAAACTTTATCTGAGTGATGGGAAATACCACTCAAAAATTGCCTCAAGTACGACACTGTATTAAAAACCTTGCTGGTTTTAATCTAATATTTTGATATTGTTCATGTCCTATCCCATGTCTTTGATTCTCTGTGGGTTAATTTGACTTCTTAGGGAAGGATTTAATGGAATAGCTCTGTTCGTTTAATTGATAAGGCATATACACGATGACATTTTATGCAATCAATTTCTAGATGAACATGATCTTGAGTTGCAATCCCCATAAGAGACCAAATATCCAAATGATTGACAGCTGTAGAAAACGAAGTTGATCTCAATATAGTTTAGCCTCTCCATACCCAAAATATTGAAAATGTAACTTGGCTTTTTACTATAAAGCATTTTAGAATATCACCACCACTTCTGGCGGTGACATATTGTTATAGTGGCCAATTTTTTTGTGGTGGTGTCCGGTGATTGGTGTTTGACATTCAGTATCTGTAACTAATGGCAGGTGGTCACATTTAGCTTGTAATGTTTTTAGTAATGTTCTCATCATTTGAATTACTGCCTTTGACATGCTCCTTAGATAATTCTTTATATAGATACCCTGCGTGCAGAGTCTAGTTTACTACCCTCTGCCAAGTATAGACTATATTACAATTTAGTAGCCCTGTCCCCATGACCCATGCCTGTGACAGCCCTGTTCAAACATGTCAAACCTACCTAACTGATCTTTTCTCAACCAATCTGCGAGCTGGAAGGAACACATACTAAATGTATGCTTATTAACTTTGCAATGACGTCAGAAGAAATTTCCATATATAGAAAGTTGTCCAAAGTTCAATGACGAACTCTGAACGGCTCAGTGAGTTCAGAGAATTATTGTAAACTGATAGCGTGAAGACGAAGCTCTCTTTTAAGGAACGAAGTCAAACAAATGCAAAGGGTATTATTTTAGGCATGCTATCTCATTCCAGCTTCATGGTTGTTGCTATTGAAACCTCTGTAACCTACCTTTAAAAATAAAACCTTGTATTGATTGATATTTGACATGTTTATAAAATATCAGAGGAATGTCTGATTTCTTGGCATTTTCATTTTAAAAATCATGATATTTTAAGTTTTCCTCACTTATTTCAGTATTTTTATATCTCTTAAGCAAGGAAAATGATGACGGTTCTCTGTTATGGGGATTTTGTTGAAGATTTAAGAGCCCCCATCTAACCTTGATATCACTAAGAATCTACTGTGGATCCAAGCAAGAAAAGTAAATTATGTAAGCATCCATACGTCAAAACCATGAAGAGGCTTATCTTCAAGTTGGAAAATAAAATATTTTAGTACCACTGGTTATCAGCACCTCAAAGGGCAAGATTTGATAAACCATTGATTAAACAACTCAGGTGTTTTCTCAACCTTTAAATTAGGCGGGTATTGCACCCTCTTGAGAAATTGAAAATAGCTGTGCACCATCTTAATATTTTGAAAATTGCTTAGCACCCTCTTGAGATTTTGAAAATAGCTTTGCACCCTCTTAAGATTTTGAAAATAGCTTTACACCATCTTGAGATTTTGAAAATAGCTTTACACCATCTTAAGATTTTGAATAGCTTTGCACCCTCTTGAGATTTTGAAAATAGCTTTACACCATCTTGAGATTTTGAATAGCTTTGCACCCTCTTGAGATTTTGAAAATAGCTTTACACCATCTTGAGATTTTGAATAGCTTTGCACCCTCTTGAGAATTTTAAAATAACTTTGCACCCTTTTGAAATCTGGTCTGAATTGAGAAAATGAGACCTTTCCATGCCTACTTGAAGAGAGAATCACAATTAAAAACAGCACTGCAAACATCAATGTTACATTAATTCATTATGAATAACAAAAATGTGAATTACCTCTTATAAACATCTCAAATAGAGTAATTCAAAAAGCCTGCTATACCATTTTCTTTCCATTTACTTTCATTCATGCATATTTAGCACTAAATCTCTGGACCTACCCCCCCCCCTCCCTTTTATCTGCTTCACCTCTTTCTAAATATGAGGTGTAGGGATGGATAACAGGGGCTTTAAATGAGACTATGATTGATGAGGCCATATAAAAAGCAGCCTATTATGAAATGAAACCGATAAGGCATCTTTGGTATTTTGTATCCTGCATATTAAAGTACTGTTATATTTATTATTGACTGCTTACAATTCCAGTTAAACTGTACGAAGTGGAACACTGTGTTCTGCTAAATGAAAATAAAATATTTATCTGATTTTGTAATCGTTGGAAATTGACTGTAAATCTCACTAATTTTATCACCTAATTGTGTAATTGTATTAAAAAACACTTTCTTCAATCCAGCTCAACAATATAAGTTGCAAATGGATGAAAAATGAGACATTAAAAAACGAAAAGGATTCAATTAAGGTGGTTGCGTCATTTATAACATCTTACACCTAATTCATGGATGAAGATGTAAGTCTCATCTCCCGTTCTGTAAACCTTGCTACCCTTTGGAAAAAGTTTGACTTTGCAACTCTGAAGAGAACATTGTAGAATTAACTTGAATCTCAGCATATTTCTGTGCACACAAAATCTATTAATTGAGACATATTTATGACATATTAAGCAAGATATTATTGTCTAAGAAAATGTCTAAAATATTAATACAGTAGGTCAATAAAGATGAAGAATGCAACATATATATATTTACATCTATATATTCTCTGCCTTTATTTTGGATTATTTTATTATCTATATACGTATATAGTAACAAATGTCAAGTGGAACACCTTTGTAAGTGGAACACCTTTGTAAGTGGATTTTCTTTGTAAGTGGAATACCTTTGTAAGTGGAACAACTATGTAAGTGGAACACCGTACGTTGAATGCCTTTATAAATGAAACACTTTACTCCTATTGATCTAATGATAGTAACACTTTCCAAGTGGAACACATTTTAGAGGTACCAAAGGTATTCCACTTACATAGGTTTCAGTACAAAATATTGCAAAAAGTAAGAGCAAAATAACCTGCTTAATGAAGTAATTGCAGAAATTATTGATTTTTGCACGATGTTGGAATAATTTCTCTGATGAAGTATTTTTACCACCAGCTTATCCGGTGTGGTATATTTTCACAATATTTACACTTGTAACTGTTATGATTTTACAGTTTTGGATTAGTTGAATAAATTTATATCTACTTATTTCTGATTATTTTATTCTCCAGCAAAAATTTTCTATCTGAGAAATAAAATATTACCATATGAAAGGCAATGTGGTCAGGGAGAGGCAGGATTGTTTCAATTGAGACAATATGTAAATGCGGAACATTTAAAATGACCAGATAAAAGATGCAATTCAAATTTTACTTCACCATTGACTGAATTAGTACTATAGTTCGTACATTATTATATGTGTGTAATTTCTTACAGAGGAGTACGAGCCTGGAGTATTTAATGATGCTAACAGAGGTTGCTGGAAGATGATTTCCCTAGAGCTTGCTTTTAAACTATTTACCTAATTACATCACATAGAAGCATTTCAACATACTGTAAAACAAGTTATTTGGGCAATTCGTAAAATGCTAAAATTCATGGAAAACTAAACATGATGCAAATTAATGGTTTTACTGTAATGCCACTGGCAATTGGGACTCTCTTATATTTTTTTAATATAGAATCTCTCGATAAAAATAATTTACTAAAAATCTCCCGAAAAATTTTAATTATTGAATTTATAAAACAGAAATGCATGAAAAACATCCATATGAATTACTATAACTCTTACTAGGGATGTCAGGATATAGAGGTTATTAGATAAGAGGGAAGAAATATGGATTTTATTCCATGGGACAAAAGATATTGACTAAGGCCTTTCTCAAACATTTAAGCTTTGAGCTGCTTCTCGAAGAGTCACTTAGCTTTGGATACATGTCAGTAGGCTGATGTCAGTAGGCTGACAGTAATCTGTTATAATCTTACTTGGTGTCAGCAGTATTAGGTTTTTTTTACTTTGAAGATATAAGCAATAACAGAGAACTAGACCTTCGATTTGATGAAAATTAGCAACAATTTGTTTTACACTTATTTATAAGATAGTACCTGGTAAGTTCTTAGGGTATATAAGCAAATTGCTAGCCTAAGCTTGCATTTGTAGTCCCACCCCCAATTTCATGTGTGTTTTTAATGATGATAACAGAGGATGCTTAAACCTGCACATCGCTCCAAAACGCAATCTTGGGTTGTTTCGGGGGTGAATTTTATCATTTTGAGCTTAATGAAAGATTATAGAATGATGAACAAATGGGGCAAATCTTGTGTAGAAATACTTACGATAAATGTGTCATTTCAAAGATTTTTCATTGAATTGCTTCGATCGGCGCCAACGATATGATTTTGGAAAGGTTTCTAAATGAAGAACGTGACGTCACTTCCGAATCATAGCATTCAAAATAAGTAGCTTTTAATTACTTCTACCATTTATAAAAACGCGGTGGTGTAGCGGTAGAATTCTCGTTTAGCGCGCAGGAGGCCTGAGTTCAAATCCCGCATTCGCCTTTTTTTTTTTTTTTTAACTAAATGATTGTTCTTTGATATTACGCAGAAAAAACAATTTTTATTTACATAAACTTTATATTAGAGCTTAAAAATGTAAAAACAATATATGTCAACATATTGCGTTTTGGAGCGATGTGCAGGTTTAAGTCTAAAACATGTGATTTCTCAGTTAAGAGTAGCACCAGATCATTTGGGATGGTATCCAAATTCATCACTTTGAAAAAATGAAATTATTTCATTCCTCCACACACATTATACCATATTATCTCTATTAAACGCACAGTGCGCTTAGCAAATTCCCATGGGGGACAGGTTTCAAGCAGCTAAATCCCCGGGAATTCTAAAAAATTATGATGGTGGGCGATAATGGGTGAAAATTTACTTCTATACCTAAAATCGATCAAATACCTGGTATAGTAGATATGTGCGTTTATTACAGAGAATATGCTATATGTTATGTTTTTACCTTGAATTGTGAGCACCTAGACGACAAATTTAGTATATAAATACACTATTGTGTGTTATTTACACAAACACCTGAAGAAATTTCTTACGTTGCATGCGTTGCATGATGGGAAATCGTGACGTCATGAATCATGATGCATTATTTTAACGAATGGTGAAAATACTCTATTATCGCCCACAATGTTTTTTTATTAGAGCTTCGTCAGATCTCAATATTATCTGGACAGGACTTTCTAACCTGGGACAAAAAGTCGGGTGTGCGTCTATTAGAGAGTGTGCGTTTAATAGAGAAAATACGGTACTAATATCATAAACTCATTCCCCTCTTTTTTTTGAATCCTGGTTATCCCCTGCTCCCAAAAAATAACCTGTATACATTATGTGTTTCTAGGTTTTGACCAAAGACAGTGTGACAGTGTCAGTGGATGCTGTAGTCTACTACAGAGTCAATAATGCCACTATATCTGTAGCCAATGTTGAGAACGCACATCACTCTACTAGGCTCCTAGCACAGACAACACTACGGAACGTACTCGGAACTAAAAATTTGGCGGATATTTTATCAGAGCGGGAGAGTATCAGTAGCAGTATGCAGGTTGGTATTGGGTTTATTCTGATGAATATTTACACCCCCTCAAATAGTTTGGCAATCCTAATTACACTAGCCACACATACACTCCCCTCAAAGCGTGTCAACTCCCATTTTATCTGATAACCTACCATTTAAAGCCTGTATGTCTGAATTTTATTTTCCAAATTACATCAGGTTGGTTTTTGATAAATATTATGACCATGGGCATGATTTAGTGGTTCAGAGGAGAAGTTGGTTTTGCCAAACCTTTGGAGGGGGTGTAGTTTAAGTCAATTTAATTTAAGACTTTAAATAAAAAATATTAGTTAAATAACTTTAAAGCCTTGAATGGAGTAAACAGTGTGCACTGTGCATTGCGTCATTGCAATTGTATTCTGAATATTAGAAAACAAATGCTTCTGGTAATGTACACTTTGTGTTTTAGACAACACTTCTTAAAATTGTATAGAAATAAAGGAAAATTAGATATCATTAAGGTGGGAATTATGCATGTAAGAAGATTAATTTCTCTCCCTGACCTACCTTAATGTGATTATTGAAATTTAAGGAATAAATATTAAATCAGATATTTTGATGATAACAGTAACAATATTTAAAACATATAAAATATGATTATACAGTGTACTGTCACTTATACTTTTTGAAACTTTGAATAAAGTCCTGCACAGTTAAAGAAACTTTTTTATTGATTGTATTTCTTAGATCTGTGAGGTTGTTTTTTATTTTTTGTGTGTTTGTCTGATTTTGCACCTGTTGAATTATGTTATTAATGCACATTTATTTTCTGGAAATATTTCAGAATCTTAAGATGAATGCAATGCATGATATAAAGCTGCTACATAATTATTGTATTTTCTAGGAAAGAAATAGATAATCCTGACTGAATCCTCAGTGAACAAACTGTAAAATGTGGACAATGGAAATATTTCCAAAGACGAGTAATTATAACTGAAACTTTTGTATATTTGTAGGTTGAATTTATGCGCTGTATTTTGACCCCCTCCTCACAATCTATTCTAACTGATCAAAATCCAGTCTACAAAGAGAGAGAATAGGTGTGTAGAGAAGAGCATTGCTGCTATGCCCCTTGCATTTCATTTGTATGTAGTTCATTTTAAGGAGTTAATCCATTGAAAGATGTCACCTCTGTCTATCACTACTGTCATAGCAGACTAAAGCTTCTCAAACATGGAGTGGTCACCAGAGAGTGATTTGGATTTTGATCTTGCACACAAATCAACACTTAATTGCTATTTATAAATTTTTTTAGTGAAGCTAAGTTTTTTTTAGACATTAAGAGTGAAGCCAAATAGATGGAGCTGCGTTAAAGCATGTGCGCCCTCTAGTGTGCCTCATGATCTGCCAAGTAGTCTTGAACATTTGAACAAGAATCTATTTCTAATAAAATGTGAAAGATATTTTGGGCTTCAAAAGCAATTAATGCATTTAAGTAAATAATTTCTTTCAAAAATATTTTGTTGAAGGTGAAGGTTTTAATCCCCGAACAGGTTCTACAGGTTGGACCAATCAGATGTGGCATAACTCATAATTGTTTTACAGAATTCAATGACGCAGCCAAGCTCTTGAAACTGACAATTTACACAACAGCTGTACGTGCCTAAAATCAAGTTCTCATGTAGTATACATGTATCCTAAGGACGACATCTATTTTACAGAAATGAAGGCGATGACATACCCATACTTGCTGCATGTATCTGTCTTATTTTAAAATTCAGATTGAATTAGTGAAATTGATAAAACTAACTAGTTCAGATACTCAATGCTTAAATAACAAGCTTCACTTCTATCAAAAATCAGAATAATCCAAATTGTGTAGACTGAGCTATAGTTTTGTTTATTGAATGCTATAAAGCGCATCTGTGTTTTGGACCAATCCATCGTATTTTATAGACATCATTAGATGCCGCAACACACCAATGGGGCATAAAAGTTGAGCGTGTTGAAATGTGAGTAACGTAGGATTTTCAGCTCTGGGACTTTTTACGCTGTTTTACAGGAGTCCTAGGATTTTTCTTCATTATTACGTTACAGGTGTCCTATTTGCATGAGGCAGATTTATATGTGTAGCTCAAATTATTTAATTTATGTTCTTTTCATTTGATTCATCAGTTTTGTGATTATACGCCTATAACAATGGAGCGCGATTTTTGCATGTGATAATTTTGATTGATTATTACATATCTATGCCATCTCTACAGAATTAAATAATCCAACGAATTGTTTCGGCTATTTACACGTAAATGTGCAGCATTTAGACTGTATTTAAACACCTCCATGTTTAGCTTATATTTCACTAGGCAACATGTTACGTCCATTTTTAATCAATTCTAGGGCCCAGTTTCATAAATTATTTCACATTAATTATTTTCATTTTAAAAATCATGATTTAGTTCATCGTAGTCAGATATTGTCTGTGTATATTAATTTCTATTTTGTAAAATCCCAAGGGAACTTGACCCTTGGTGTTCAATTAATGTGTGCTAGTTTGTGAAACGGGCCCCTGTTTTTTAATTATTGACTTTCATGTTGAAATAAGATATACAGGGTGGTCCCATATAGCTGATTACTGGTGTCTAGATGATTTGAAGGCATGACCTGTCAGTATATTTGTGGCATTCTTACCAACATACCATTTTCAGCACTCATTTACAGAGTACATTTTAGAGTACTTTTATTTTGAACAAATGAATACAAATTACAATGAAATGCAGGCTATAGGAACTTTTGATATTCAGTTGACTATCTTGTTGTTTAAGATCAATTTTTGCTTACATACTGGTATATCATTTACTGGTAAAAAGTGACCTTGAAATATATAACATTCATCAAAAAAATGCTTTTTAACAGTATCCTTATACCAGGTCTGTTGGTTAGGCCACAAATTGCCAAAAAAACAGAACCAAAATAATAATAAAATAAATGAAATTGACATGTTATGGGTCTCAGATCTTTAGTCACAAACTGTGTCCTAACGCTCGTCATTGTTGAGCGATCTGATTGGCTGATGGCATGATTAGCTTATTTGTTTTCCTGTCGTTTAGTCGACACTGGACCAAGCCACAGATAATTGGGGCATACGAGTGGAGCGAGTAGAAATGTAAGTGAGCATGCTTCATATAGGGGTCAGCTCAAAAATTGATGTCCAACAAAAAATGTAATTGATCATGTTTTGACATCATCCCTCTTCTGAAAATCAAATAAAAAATATGTACACAAAATTCCAAAAATTGATGTCTTTCAGTTTTTCTCCTCCAAGAATAAGAAACAAATCGATTGCATTTTTACTGAGACATCAGTAACTTGACCTCACAGTAAAATCAGTGTTCACTCCCATATTCAACTTTGTTAAACCCGTATAATGGATCATAATTAATCGACACATTAGTTTAAGAATATTCCTGGCATGTATTCCAAAGCATAAGTAAATATTCAAATTAAGTATAGTATAAATTGATATTGTATGAATGAATTATTATTTTTTGTTCAAAACTTCTCAATAGGTAATCAATACTCCCTACACCCCCTCCAAGTAAAGGAATACTGATTTCCACACTCTACACTCCCCTCCCCCAAGTAAATTCACTTTGCTCTTATAAGAGAATACTGATATCCACACTCTACACTCCCCTCGCCAAGTAGATTCACTTTGCTCTTATAAGGGAATACTGATATCCACACTCTACACTCCCCTCCCCAAGTAGATTCACTTTGCTCTTATAAGGGAATACTGATATCCACACTCTACACTCCCTTCCCCAAGTAAATTCACTTTACTCTTAAAAGAGAATATTGATATCCACACTCTACACTCCCCTCCCCAAATAGATTCACTTTGCTCTTATAAGGGAATACTGATATCCACACTCTACACTCCCTTCCCCAAGTAAATTCACTTTACTCTTAAAAGAGAATATTGATATCCACACTCTACACTCCCCTCCCCAAATAGATTCACTTTGCTCTTATAAGGGAATACTGATATCCACACTCTACACTCCCCTCCCCAAGTAGATTCACTTTGCTCTTATAAGGGAATACTGATATCCACACTCTACACTCCCTTCCCCAAGTAAATTCACTTTACTCTTAAAAGAGAATATTGATATCCACACTCTACACTCCCCTCCCCAAATAGATTCACTTTGCTCTTATAAGGGAATACTGATATCCACACTCTACACTCCCTTCCCCAAGTAAATTCACTTTACTCTTAAAAGAGAATATTGATATCCACACTCTACACTCCCCTCCCCAAATAGATTCACTTTGCTCTTATAAGGGAATATTGATATCCACACTCTACACTCCCTTCCCCAAGTAAATTCACTTTACTCTTAAAAGAGAATATTGATATCCACACTCTACACTCCCCTCCCCAAATAGATTCACTTTGCTCTTATAAGGGAATACTGATATCCACACTCTACACTCCCCTCCCCAAGTAGATTCACTTTGCTCTTATAAGGGAATACTGATATCCACACTCTACACTCCCCTCCCCAAATAGATTCACTTTGCTCTTATAAGGGAATACTGATATCCACACTCTACACTCCCCTCCCCAAGTAGATTCACTTTACTCCTATATGAGAATACTGATATCCACACTCTACACTCCCCTCCCCAAGTAAATTCACTTTGCTCTTATAAGGGAATACTGATATCCACACTCTACACTCCCTTCCCCAAGTAAATTCACTTTACTCTTAAAAGAGAATATTGATATCCACACTCTACACTCCCCTCCCCAAATAGATTCACTTTGCTCTTATAAGGGAATACTGATATCCACACTCTACACTCCCTTCCCCAAGTAAATTCACTTTACTCTTAAAAGAGAATATTGATATCCACACTCTACACTCCCCTCCCCAAGTAAATTCACTTTACTCCTATATGAGAATACTGATATCCACACTCTACACTCCCCTCCCCAAATAGATTCACTTTGCTCTTATAAGGGAATACTGATATCCACACTCTACACTCCCTTCCCCAAGTAAATTCACTTTACTCTTAAAAGAGAATATTGATATCCACACTCTACACTCCCCTCCCCAAATAGATTCACTTTGCTCTTATAAGGGAATACTGATATCCACACTCTACACTCCCCTCCCCAAGTAGATTCACTTTACTCCTATATGAGAATACTGATATCCACACTCTACACTCCCCTCCCCAAGTAAATTCACTTTGCTCTTATAAGGGAATACTGATATCCACACTCTACACTCCCTTCCCCAAGTAAATTCACTTTACTCTTAAAAGAGAATATTGATATCCACACTCTACACTCCCCTCCCCAAATAGATTCACTTTGCTCTTATAAGGGAATACTGATATCCACACTCTACACTCCCTTCCCCAAGTAAATTCACTTTACTCTTAAAAGAGAATATTGATATCCACACTCTACACTCCCCTCCCCAAGTAAATTCACTTTACTCCTATATGAGAATACTGATATCCACACTCTACACTCCCCTCCCCAAATAGATTCACTTTGCTCTTATAAGGGAATACTGATATCCACACTCTACACTCCCTTCCCCAAGTAAATTCACTTTACTCTTAAAAGAGAATATTGATATCCACACTCTACACTCCCCTCCCCAAGTAAATTCACTTTACTCGTAAAAGAGAATATTGATATCCACACTCTACACTCCCCTCCCCAAATAGATTCACTTTGCTCTTATAAGGGAATACTGATATCCACACTCTACACTCCCTTCCCCAAGTAAATTCACTTTACTCCTATATGAGAATACTGATATCCACACTCTACACTCCCCTCCCCAAGTAAATTCACTTTACTCCTATATGAGAATACTGATATCCACACTCTACACTCCCCTCCCCAAGTAAATTCACTTTACTCCTATATGAGAATACTGATATCCACACTCTACACTCCCCTCCCCAAGTAAATTCACTTTGCTCTTATAAGGGAATACTGATATCCACACTCTACACTCCCCTCCCCAAGTAAATTCACTTTACTCCTATATGAGAATACTGATATCCACACTCTACACTCCCCTCCCCAAGTAGATTCACTTTGCTCTTATAAGGGAATACTGATATCCACACTCTACACTCCCCTCCCCAAGTAAATTCACTTTACTCCTATATGAGAATACTGATATCCACACTCTACACTCCCCTCCCCAAGTAAATTCACTTTACTCCTATATGAGAATACTGATATCCACACTCTACACTCCCCTCCCCAAGTAAATTCACTTTACTCCTATATGAGAATACTGATATGATAAATACAGTATCCTGTAAAAACAAAGTACATGTATGTGAATATAATCTTGCAATTTGAAAACCTTTTGCCAATTTCTTTTCTGTATTCCATGTTATCTTTGGAAAGGCTTAGTTCACAAAAATATTTCAAATCATCAAATTGTAGTTTAACTCCTCTTAAATGATGCAAGGTCAAACTTTTACAAGGGGTCCTGGGCTTTCACAAGGCCCATGAAAGGGTACACTATTAATTTGACATGTTAATATGGGAATGAATGAAACTGAAATAACTGGTAAATAAAATAAATGTTGTGTTCATTCATATATTAGTACATTGTTTAGATTAAATAGTGACTTTATGAAATTAAACTAGGAATTTATTTGATGTTTATTGAGTAACTGTTGAAGTAAAATTATTTTTCAATTCAAGCCGAATAGCTGCTAGCATACAGTAGGGTACATATATAACATAAAGCAAATTGCTGACCTTATTTGGGCAATTGACCACATACAACTTTTTTGAATGCAGAAAAATATTTTCATTGGAAATTATTTGTTTGTTTTTTATAAGCAGTGCTTTTTCAGATATAAAAGATGTCAAAATCAGTGTTAAATTCGATTTGTAAATGCTTTTGCCAGTATATGTTTCCTTACAAAAAGGCAATATAGTTACATTGATGTTACATTGAAAGTTTCCTGAGAAATTCTGAAATATAAATTATTTGAAGTAACAAATATGCTTGCGGGATTGTTACTCCAAAAATTTGTCTCTTGTGTTGAGTTAATTTTTTTCAAGTTTGGCAACTATGTTAAAATAGTCCTTATTCACTTCACTAAGTATTGAAAGAGGGATGTTTCTCTGAGACCAAGTTTTGTTTGTGACTGTGACATTCATGTCAGATCTTCAAAGATCACTCAAATCCAGATTTGTGTTTCATTTAGGAATGATAATAATGTTATTGCATTACAGTAAGGATGTGCGTCTACCAGTTCAGTTGCAACGTGCTATGGCTGCAGAAGCCGAGGCCTCTAGAGAAGCCAGAGCCAAGGTAGGATAAAAACAAAATATTTTTCTTTTAATTACATTCAGAGATTTTTTATGTCACCACCAAAAGTGGTGATATATTGTTTTAGTCTCCAACTTTTTAGCTCACAGTACTTGTCTTGCAGTCTGTCTTTCTGTCCATCTGTCTGCCTGTCAACATATTGTAATGACCCTCGGCCACACAAGGGGAATGACTAACTGACGAGTATAGTGTAACAAGCCAAATAAAGAAATTGAAAGAAAGTGTGCTAAATTCAGTGCCTTGTGTAGGAATCAAACACAAGTGCTGTCTTAAAAGATCACCAGTGTTTCAAAATGGCAGCCAATTTTATTGCAGAAAAATCAGGTTTTCAGCTCTTTTTTGGTCATAACTCCACAAGGGTTCCACCAATTTGCTTGAAATTGTACAGTTACTTGATTTATATGTTATCAATCAATATCACACCGGAATAATCTGACTACGGTAAAGTCAAATACCGTTGTCACAAATGGCAGACATAACTGTCGCTTCAACTGTTTAATCACTTGATCCTCATTTCATGGGATTTGAAATCGCCACAATATAGCGTCTTAGATATTGTCAATGACAACGGAATGTGAATTTGAGTAATTTAGAAAGACAACGGCATATGGTAATTACAGTGTCTGTTGTCCCATATCTCATTTTGATCGGGTAAATTAAAGACTTAATTTTCGATGGTAGAACATTATTAACTGTACAATGAGTATTTTTCATTAAAATGTAATTTTTGATTTCTCAAATACCATTTGGAAGTTTATCATATGGAATTTGGTTCATACTTTATATAGAGGATATCCTATGATTTATGAGTGATATGGTTTTATCCACGAATGGATATGATATCTGCACGAGCGAGCGTAGCGAGAGAGTGCAGATATCAATATCCATGAGTGGATTAAAATCATATCACAAGTAAATCATAGGATGTTCTTTTTTTTTTTTTTTTTTTTTTCCCTTTATTTCACTTTATTTTTTACAGTTACAGTATAAATACATATTCATAATCAGGGATTTGAAAATGGTTAATACTATAAGGGTGCAAGTATCTCAAAACAATCACAAATTATATAAAGTATCATTGTTATCCTATGCTGCATTTAGGGTTGCCCTATGTAACTGGAGATCCAGAAACAACTTGGCGGTCATAAATGCCTCAAATAAAAATTCACTGTGCACAATTTGCTAAATACTAATCATTAATGGTGGAAATGAAACGTTAACCCCTTAACCTAAATTAAAGCTGGTCAGAGCAAAGTGTTAAACTTCATGTAATAATTCATTAAAATTCACTTTATCTGTAGAGTTAAATACATTTTTCATTATCATGAAATTTGGAGCTGGTTAATAATATGAGGGTGCAAGTATCTCAAAACAATCACAAATTATATAAAGTATCATTGTTATCCTATGCTGCATTTAGGGTTGCCCTATGTAACTGGAGATCCAGAAACAACTTGGCGGTCATAAATGCCTCAGATAACAATTTACTATACTATGCACAATTTGCTTTATAAAATGTAATTCAGTTAAAGAGTAAATATTGTCATCCTCTTAATTTTAAATCTAGACAGAGTGTAAAAAGTTAAGTTCAAATGTTCAATTATTTAATTGAAATCACTTTAAAAATAAATAATCTGTGAATCACTGTCATTTGTCATTTAGCCTCATTTCAAATGCATTGTCATTAGATAAGAAAAGGAAAATATTTCATGCTATGTTGAAGAGTCCTCAAGATTGATTAATCCAAATTGTTTAACGAAATCAAAGGATGTTCTTTACTTTTAAACGTTTTAAAAAGTTTTGAATGATATTGTCAGGGTTCAATTGCAACTTGATCATATTGTCAAACTTGGTCAATGATCTCTCTGCAGCAGCTTTGCACATTTCATTAAAATCCTTTGTGCTGGTGTCTTCCTCAGTTTCCAAATCATCCTTCATAACTTGAGTTTGTATATTTCTTTGACTGCACTTAGCCAGTTGAAACGTATCAGTAGCCTTAGTCTTAGTTAATAATGTTCTCTGCGTTTCGACACACTTCATGGTAGGGCAACATTGTACTTCTTTATTCCTTTGCACAGAAATGTTACTGTTTATCCTCGGAGTCTTTCCAATTTTTGGTTCATGATTATAATGTTTATTCCTAAGATGTTCCTGTTCTTGTAATGATTCATTCATAGGAGACAGGTTACTGGGTTCATTCTTGTGAATTTGATCATATTCAGCTGGACATGTATTAGGAGCTGGTAAAGTTTCTGCCTGGCTTAAGGGATCATCTGGAAATTTCAACTGTACATCTTGACATTTTACTGTGTTCATCTCAGATGATTGTTTAGACTTGTTTCCCAAACCCTGGTTCACTGTTTGAGATGGTCCCTCAATGTCTTGATTGCAAAATGATTCGTTTTGGGTTGATCTACTTTCCCAGTTGGGTGTACTTGACGGTTGTGAGTTTAAATCCACAGTTGATTGACCAGTATAGCTGCTTTCAGTATTGTTCCCTGAATCAACCGAGTTGAAATGTTCATTGAAGCGAGTAATCCTATTAATATTACGCCTTGCCTTGCTGTTCATGTGTTTGACCTCTGGTGTACTTGAAGTGTCATGGCTTGAAAATTTTAAATTTTAGGATGTTCTTTTTATTCCATAGTTCAAGTCATCATCAGAATCGTCGGTAATTAAGTGATTTAATTCGAATTTTCCAAACGATCCGGCAATGTTGACTTAGCCTCGTTTTGAGTCTGAAGTAGCAAAAATCCATAAACCATCGCATACGGCGCCGTATGTCATGGCTAAAAAACCGTATGCTATGGTTAAATGAAAATTTGTCAAAAATATCATATTTTACCACTGATTACAAAAATACTGTTTTTATTTTTTTCATATGTTATCCTATGAATATCATGCTAACTATGGAATAAAAGCTAATATCTTATAGGAAAGGACCTGGCGTTTTCAATATGTCCACTCATTTCAAAATGGCTGCCATTTTAGTCATATAAATGTAAAATGTTCCAAAAGGAGACAGTACTACTCTACTACTTTCTGTTTTTCTATCATGCTATGTTCAAAATGACTTGGAATTTGATAAAATATGTTTTGTTAGGTGGGATTTGCTACTCAGTGGAGTTCCTGTTTTCTACATTTAAACCTGAATTACACCTGCCAATGTAAAAATATCAAATTGCTCCCTCAAACTGACACAAAATATGTCTGAAGAAATGAAATATTGAGATATTTTTACTCAGATCTGCTGAAAAATTGGGAGCTCACTGTTGCATTATATTTTCTCTTGCGTTTATCGAAATGAAATAACACAAGCGGCCATTTAATATAATGTTTTTATATACATTGATCAAATCTGATTAACCTTTTGAATACCAGGCTCTAAAATCGATTGAAACCAGAGATTTTTTCATTTTTGCCACCTTTTTTATTTACAAAATTAGACGACAGAGATCATTTCTACACATTTTAAAACAATTTTTGTGTAAATTGGATGAAAATTGTTCAAATAAGAGCAATTTTAGTGAAAAATTTTGTGACGGATTTTCTCGTCACTCTGGGTTTCAAGGTCATTTCTGAGGTGATGAGAAATCTTGTCACTCCAGGCAGTCAAGAGGTTAACTTGTCAAAATTTAACATGCATGAGAATAATATGCAGATACATGTACAAAGTGACACAAAACAATGTCCTAAGATAAAATATCAAATGATTCCTAAGATATAAAGGTTATGTACAAAGTCTGTGTAAAGTTTATAGAAACTTTATGGACACTCTGTACATAATATCAACTCCAGTTTTCTTTTGGATGACAAGCTATTTATGACAAAATAACACTTGCAGAGGATAAACATAAAATTTTGACTGAAAAATTGCTAAACATAAAAGTTAGTAATCTTGTTAATATCTAATGTGCCAAGTTTTTTGTGTCGTTCTATATTTTGAATTTATGAACTATATATACAGGTTTACATATATTTGTGTGATCTTATATGTTTTATCAAATTACTAACTTATTAGTTTAAGCATATAAATGAGATATAGGGCAGGCCTGTAGCAAGGATTTGTCAAGGGGGTTCATTTTAAAAATTGACAAAATTGCCCCAAAAATGGCCAAAATCACTTGAAAAGTGATCAAAATGGTGAAAAACTGCACAAGTTTGAAAGAATATTTGGCCAAGGGGGGGGTCTCTTTAAACCTCCTGACCCCCCCCCCCCTCCCTCCTGCTACGGGCCTGCAGGGTAATCAACAAGCACCGTCGGTTTCATAGCAACATGCTCACCTTAAATAGTCATGCATATGTTTATATGTTTAATTATTGTTTCGATCAAAAATAATTAAAACTTCGGATTGTGCCATTTTAAACATGACATTCAGCATGACATTTTAATTTTAGGTCACTCTGTACATGTTTAATATGAACTCACCTGGCCCGTAGCCAGGATTTGCCAAGGGGAGGTTCAGTTTTCAAAAATTTCCAGGGGGGTTCATATTTGATAATTTTGGCCCAAATATGGCTAAAATCACTTGAGAAGTGCTCAAAATGGTGAAAAACTGCATGATTTTGAAAGAATTTTTGGCCAGGGGGGGGGGAACCTGAACCCTGTGAACCCCCCTGGCTATGGGCCTGCTCACAACTGTCAATCTTTAATTTCATAGGTGTAGATTACTATTCAAGATGGTGTTTATGCAGACTTGCATGGGCAGCTATCACCCAAAACCTTGGGATAGCCTAGAACATTAGATACATGTCGGGTAACTTTCTATTACTTCAATCTGGTTTGATGGTGGCCTGTAGAAGACAGCATATTGTACTGTGTTTATGTCCAGGACAGGGTCTTTGTTTTGCAAAAGGACATTTATATCATAGCTTGTATCCGACATATTTAGGTATCTCCATTTACGGCTTGGTCCAGTTAAACTTTCAATGTTCGTATTTCTAATCGTAATGTAGTAATGTATAATAGGATTCTTGTAAAATTCCTTTGTGTCTGCAACTATCAATTGATAGAAAATGTTTATTTCATTGTTGCAGTCATCACAAAGTTTGTTGAATTCTTTCAGAATATTATACATTTTCACGTTATGACAAGTCATTGTCACGTTATGACAAGTCATTGTCACGTTGATGAAGTCATCTGGTGATTTCACGACATCCAAACCAGATATATGCAATGTGTCATTCCTGGGGATTAAATAAGTCGTACTGGTCCAATCTGCAATCGTTCTATTGTCATTAGTCATTTTATTACCATAATTAAACGCTCCTTTCTTGACAAAGTACAGCTCAAGTTTGTCCAAGTGTCCTATGACTTCTTTAGGGTAATCAATAGCAAGAAGGGACAGTACTGTCACAGTGATAAGTCCAATATATGCAACAATGTATATGGCATATGTAACACCATTACATCTTTTGCTCGACTTGTTTTCATCACTATTATACAATATATACCCAATTATCAATACTTTAAATGTGTTGGTTGATAATGCAATGAACAATGATATGTAAAAAGGGCTATGAACTTTATATATTAAATCAGCACATATCATATAAGAATAGCGTATAATTCCAAGGCTTAATAAACATGGAATGTTTAACAAGCAAAAAACAACAAGCCAAAAGTCACCACAACACTTGTAAAAAAGTGCTTTAAAAGATATATTAATAAAAATAGCAAATAGAACAATAGGTGTGATAATCCATGCATTAAAATCAATACCACTGCAAGAATTTGTTCTAGATATTACGTCTTTTGCAGGAATGAAAGAAAAATTATCACCATATAAGAAAACTGCAATGTCTAGTAATGATAGTATGATCGTAAATCCCTTTAACAGCCGTATTATTTTAGATTTTGCCATTTCAATGCTGAACTTTCTATATAAACTCAGTTATTGTATTTTAATTAACCTTTACCATGCTGCCTTATTTCAGCAAATATATCCCACGCAACTGGCTTATTTTTCAAAGAGTGCAAAAAATGATATAATAATTAATATCTCAATAACTACTGAATGAATCTGGATAAAATTTTCACAAAGGGAAGATACAGTGGCCTGGCTCATGAAAAAAATGTTCTCATGAATTTTTTCGTACATTAACACGACTGGGCATAAATATACCATGAATACTCCTCCGGAATCCGCCGCTCCGCCTCTTCGTCTGGTCAGAATCCAAATCTGAATTTGCAGCGATCGAATGTTCAATTTTTCAATTCAGAAAATATTCTAGTTTCTATTTTCGATGACCGTTATCGGCTTCCAAGAGCCTAAAGAGCTCGAAATCGTAATTCATTTCCTCCACATTTTCGTTGTGATCGTATTTGTCCACCATTTTGTACGATTCGTTCACTAAAAACGACTAAAACACTGTTTAAATTGTTGAATTGAGAATTATTTTTCGAAATATCGCCATTCTAGGTCAACAGGAAGTCATGTTAGGCACTGAATAAATCGGGCAATCTAATTGGACAATACGAATGGCGCGAAAAAGTAAAGTTTTTAAAAGTTTGAAATCGGGCGTACGGGTCCGCCGGCAGTTGTGAGAGACATTTTTTAATCAATATAATGTTGCGTAATATACAGCCTTTGTTTTTGATTCTCACAGATACATGTAGACTGTACACATTTTCTATAAATGGTTCGATTCCAACTTCACCAGCAAAATATTCCTTATCGTTAATGCAATTCACCATGCAGTGACATACACAATCCTTCTAGTGTTGCTGTTTGATATCTAAATTCATATGTTCTGTTCTAATTCTTCAATCTTGTATGTATAATATATATATCTTATGAGTTTGTTGCTTTTCTCTTCCTTAATACAAGCGTGATCTTCCAAGCTTTCGTGTATGGTAAACGAGTTTATTCTTGAGCTTGAAATGTGCCAGCGTCACGTAATTGTCTTCTTTATTTCGAAAAAAAACTTGAATTACTGTGATATACAGAGGATAAACATTATCATTTACAAGGTCGTTCAACAACATTTTAACCAATCAAAATGGAGAAGATACAACCAGGATGTAAACAACTGGCATATTTTGAATTTGAAGATGTTCACAGGTCAGGTGAAATAAATAGGCAGATGAACCGTTTCCCATAAAGCCCCTCTTATCATTCTTTTATGTTAAGATATTTAAAGCAGTTTATTATATCAATGTTATCCTTTCATTTTTTGTGAATGATTTTGATCTGATGTTTAATGTTGGGTTACAGATATTACTTTTGCAAGTTAAGTTTAAAATAACATTGCTCCATGAAGGTAAAACAAGGGAATCCCAATTTGAAGCAAGGTTTAGATATACCATCGGAAAGCTGGATAGTACTAGGTCATCTTTTTAAATCTTGTCAGTTTTTCAGAGCTTTAAAGGTTAGGAAGTTACCTAATCAAACATTTTATCAAAACGGGTAATTATAATTCATTTTGGTGAAATCTGAAAGTACAAGTGCTAAAGGGAAAGGGCTTAAAGTTATAATGGAACCAAGCGAGAAAAAGCAAATTTTTATATACCAATCAGCAGAAAAACATACCATATATGTATCGCAAAACCCATGATCTAACATGAAAAGAAATGATGTCTTAAATACCCCTTTCCCCCACCATACAAGAACCAATATATCACAATCCAAGACCCGTACACCAAGAGACATTTCATTCATACTGAAGTCATTGTAAAATATGTTGAAGAAAAAATTAGAAGTTGATAGCTAGCCGATACTTGTAACATTGAAAAAGATAGTTGTAGATACTAGAACTCGTACAAAATAGAGCATTCAGTCTCAAATGATGCGGGATATGATAGAGCAAACTTAAGGATCAAAAGAATTACCCTTTTTGGTAATTTGTCATTCATGAAAATCAGGTTTTCAGCTCTAATTCCACAAGTATTCCATCAATTTGCTTCAAATGTACAGGTACCTTAATTTGTAGATCATCAATAATATCTACAAGGCTCTACAAGTTTCGGCAAAATATGTCCTGAAAACTAGTAACACAATTGTGGGATGTAGGGAATGCCCTTGTCCGTCTGAGCATACTTTGGTCCATCCATCCATCCATCTTACCAATAAGTCAAGTACATTCAGATCAATATTGTTTATATCTTGTAAATATATATACGGATACATGGATACGCTTCTAAGAGATCTATTCAAAAAGGTGCATTGCCACCAATGTGAAAAAGTCAAATGTTTTTGCTATAAATCAGGAAACAATGGTCTACATACATGACCTGTAATAAATACTTATAAATGTTATAAGGGATGTCAAAAAGTGGTGACATATTGTTATGGTATTCGGTTTTTTTTTGTGACAGCGGTTGGTGGTTGGTGATCAGCGGGTGGTGGTTGGCATCGGTAACAATTTTTTAAAGCTTCTAATAAATTAACAAATACTGTTTAGACTGACTTTTTCAAAATCATCTACAAGTTTTCAGACGTTCAAATCTGACTTTTTATTTAAGATTTGACCATCAGTGACCTTTTCAAGGTAAAAAAGGTAAAAAGGTATTTTTCAACTTGCTTCAGATTGACCGATTTTTTTAAAATCTTCTACAAGTTATCAGACATTCAAATCTGACTTTAGATTTGAGATTTGACCTTCATTGACCTTCTTAAGGCTAAAAAGGTCAAAAAGGTATTTTTCAACTCGTTTCAAATTGACCAATTTTTTAAAAATCATGTAGAGGTTCTCAAAAGTTCAAATCTATGAAAAGGTATTTTTCAACTTGCTTCAATTTGACCAATTTTTTTCAAAATCATCTACAAGTTCTCAGAAGTTAAATCTGACATTAGATTTGAGATATCATCTTCAATGACATTCTCATCTTCTACAAGTTCTCGGGAATTCAAATCTGACTTAAAATTAAAGTAACAATGTTGTAGGCAACTATAGGTGGTGACATTTTGTTATGTTAATGCCTTGTTACTTCTGATGTCAATTTAGCTAGTGAGTGGCTATTTTGAAAAATGGTGGTCATTTTTATTATGTGTGTTATTTTACCCATAGTGGAGGGATTTTTAAAAATGGCAGCCCTGGCTGTTTGATGGGATTTGCGGCATCTGTTACAAATGGCAGGTGGTGACATTTTGCATATTAATGCCTTGTTTAAAATTTGTATTTCAAGATCATAAGGCATTATTGATCAATACATACATAGCATGTCTCTGTTCAGTACACATTCTAAGATATTTGTGCAGCTCCTTAATTTCCAAACAGTTATATATATAGTTAATGAAGTTGTCATTTTGGTGTAGGTATATATTTGCATGTATACATAACTTTATATGCAACCAAACATGTCATAAATTCACAGTGTTTTTTCTCTCTCTCCAGGTGATCGCAGCTGAGGGAGAACACAAGGCCGCCCGTGCTCTGAAAGAAGCTGCGGAAGTGATTGTCCAATCACCAGCAGCCATTCAGCTCCGTTATCTCCAGACCCTTAATACAATATCTGCAGAGAAAAACTCCACGATCATATTCCCATTGCCCATTGATTTTATATCCCAATTTTATAACAATTCACAAGCCCCAGCTCCACCACGCCCGACAAAAGCCCCTCTGTCGCAGCCAGTCATTGAACTGAACGAATCCTGAATTGTTGAATCAGATTCAAACATTTAGGCACAATTCGTGGAACAGATCATTGGATTGTGAAGCATGAGTGATAGACTGTTTGATTTAGACTGTTTCCTTGGAAACTACAACTCAGATTTTGGCACAACGGCTACTTTTGAGAGTTCAACTCATTGTGAATAAAGGCTTTGTGTCAATCTTGTTCCCGATGTTATTGTTAAAACATGTTAACTAATGCATGTTGTAAAATAATTGGAGAATTCAAATGAATGATGTACTTTAAGGATGAGTTATCTAGTCAAAAAACATTATTAGAGATATATGCATGGTGTCAGCGTAAAGCAAATTACAGTGAAACCTGTTGGAACACCTTTAGAAGCGGAACACCTCTTAAGGTTCTCACCAGGAAATTTTTAGATTTTTCGCGATATTTAGACTTCTCCTCCCCGTGTGAGATCAGAGATATCCTATTAGTATACTTTTCAGAATACTACTTAAGATTATTCCCTATTTTAATCACAATATATAAAAGGTCTCTGACTTCTTATTCCTTGTTTGTATCCAGTTTTATGTATTTTCTCGAGAGTTTTACCACAAATAATGTGACAAAAATGTAAAATTAGGAAGAAACACTTTAGACTCTGGAAAAGCCATTAGACTCTTGAGCAAGAGGGTCTAAAGACATTAGACTCCAGAGAATTTCTGGAGTTTAAAACCAGAGAACCCTGCCTCTGTAAGTGGAACAATTTTCATAGTCCCAACACCAACAGATTTATGTTAAGTAAAACACTATAGGTGGAGCACCTCCCAAGTGGAATACTTTAAGAGGAACCAAATGTGTTCCACTTTGACAGGTTTAACTGTATAAGTTCTCTTAAGATCAATTATTCCTGAACCTGATGTTAACTTCAAATTCAATCTAACATCTAAGAAATCTCTAAAATACAGTCCTGCCCTCTTTTTACTGACCCAAGAGTTATATTTGTTTGATTCATGATGCCATAGGTTGTTGATGACAATGGTCCAAAACAGAAATAGGATAAACTTCCTAGAATTTGTTTTGCAAACATTGTTACATCATGAACCTTGCCAATGAAAACTGGTTGCTTTGCAGGCCTCATAGACTTCAACTAACACGATCATCAGTTCGACCTTGCGAACAATGTTCCTTCCACCTGGACCAGGGTTTTCTCAACATGAATATCGATACTTTAGTCGTGAACCACCAATTCAGTTCTGACTTCCCGAACCACAGTTCTCACAACACAAATATTGAATATCGTTCTAGAGTGAGGAAAAAGTGGTTTGCGACTAAAGAATCGATATTTGCAGGCCCGTAGCCAGAGGGGGAGCTGGGGGAGCGGAAGCTCCCCCCCCCTGGCCAGAAATTATTTCAAAACCATGCAGTTTTGCACCATTATGAGAATTTTTCGCATGATTTTTATCCAAAATTGTGAAAAAGCTCCCCCCCCCTGGAAAAAAGCTCCCCCTCCTGGTAAAAGCTTGCTACGGGCAAGATTTGCGTTGTGAGAATCGTGGTTTGGGAAGTCAGAAGTGATGATCACATAAGTGGAAGTCAAGGAGACCTGGTTTGATGTACCAAAATATAGGAGGGTTTATTAGAAAAGATTTATTTTACACAATTTTCACAATAGTCACACTTTTGTTGTAAAGTCTTAAAGTTTCAAATCCATGTAGCTGATAACAATAACAAAACATTCAGTGTAGTTAAGTAGACGTCCTGTTTAATATAAAATAAAATGATGTGATAGGATTTTTATGTGCAATATGTATAACTCAGTCAACAAAATTATTTATTTGTAAATATGTTTACCTTGCAAATGTACCAATTATAATATATGTATTTGTATTTATCAGAAACACTGTATATAATGCTTATACCTTATAAAAAGTCACTTTTTCTTGCTTTTGTGCTTCTGTTTTAAATTGTTTAAAAGTGAAAGACTACTCTCAGATTATTGACGTGGCATTTTACAATAGCAGTTAGAAGAAGCTTATGACATTTTACAATAGCAATTTGAAAAAAAGCTTACATTTTACAATAGCTATTAGAAAAAGCTTCCATTTTACAATAGCAATTAGAAGAAGCTTACAACATTTTACAATAGCAATTAGAAAAAGCTTACTTTGTACAAGAGCAATTAGAAGATTACATTTTAAATTAACAATTAGAAGAAGCTTAATTATTACATTTTACAATAGCAATTAGAAGAAGCCTATCACACTTTACAATAGCAATTAGAAGAAGCTAGCCTATCTGTATCAGGTCAAATCAATAGGTTATGTACATGTTTTCTTTAATTTCATGTATACGTACATACAGTATCCGGATCAATAATTGTATTTTTCTTAGATCATTTTACTAATTGATGATCATTATAAGATCATTCAAAAATCATTAATCCAGGAACAAGTGTATGCTATTGTACATAACAGAGAGAAACTCATGATTTTAGTTAGATTTTAGTCTCTGAACCCAACTTCTGTCTTGTTAGTCTCAGAGAAAATATCTTTATTGGTGCAGACATGTTAGGAATTGATTAACATGGTACTCTGCATATTCTAACTATTTTTCATTGCACAAAATTGTCGCAATTAGCAAGTATTTGAATGAAGTACTTACTTAATGTACCCTCAATACCTTTGCTCTTCCTTCAATAACTTTTTAAGTTTCACTGTAAAAAACCTGAGCGGAAACTTGCATTTTTGTTCTGGAAATTTTTGAAATAGCATGACTTGAAGTTTCAAAATGTTACTCTATCACTTATTAAGTGCAATTGGCGTACATCTGTAAAACCACTATGTGCTTTCATAGATATGTATTCATTATTTTACAATACATGTGATATTGATTTTTGAATGATATATTTATTTATGTCGTAGTATATTATATTTATTTATGTATTATAATAATACTTGCTTGCAATTGGTGTAGAAGTAGAAAAATAAAATTTATGTATATACAGAGTATTGTTCATGTATATCTAACATTATGAGAAATAAATAGTTTCAAATACACTCTTGATTGTTGTACATATGTACTCTTATTTATATTTTCAAATCCAGCTGTTTGAGATGGAATAAAGAGCAACTCAAAGAGAACAAATGTATGAATATTCACCTTTTACCAACCTTTAGAGAATTGTCACTCATGAAATTTCTACTGATTCTATATTGAGGGAAAAATTGAAACACCAACAGTCAAAAGTTGATTGGGAGCCAGGGTTGGCAGATTTTTGGAGGGGAGTGTATCATAAGGTATAGGTATGCAGGTATGAGGAGATCTGGAATAGCTTTAATTTGCGAGACACTTGCTAGACAAGACCAATGGATGAATGGGTAGTGTTGGATTCACTATAAAATACTATGACCTGAGATGCGGACCTCTAATTTGAACACTTATATCCTTTCCATATGTTTTAATTACTTGCATAGGTTATATAATATTTGTAGGGCTTGACAACAATGCCATCATCATGGAGTTTATTTGGGTGAACACTACACTTAATTGGGATTCAAAAACCTCAGGACAAAACCTGTTAAGTAGAAATCGGAACACCTCTATAAATGTAACACTTATAAGGGGCCAGGTCAATATTTCAATGTCCGACAAAAAACATACTAGTAACATACTACATGTTATGTTATTGACGGACATTGAAATATTGACCAGGCCCCTAACTACCACATTAACTTAAACAATCAAACTTTAAACTGGAGAATACTTTTGTTTATATCATTCCACACTCATCTTGATCGAACAAGGTATGACTGAAGAAAAACAAGTGCTTAAACAGATACAGTTTAATCTGTGTAAAGTAGAAGACCTTTTTGATACGTCGAAATAATGTTCTACTTGAGAGGTGTTATTACTGTTATGGTCAGTGCATCTGTGTTCAAGATTTGTGTACAAGCTAGGGATGAACTTTTCTCTTCAGTCATACCTTGTACAAAGAATTTCATCCTGCTTGCAGTGAGAAGACGGACCGGTTCGGGGCAATCTGCTTGCAGAGAGAAGACGGACCGGTTCGGGGCAATAGCTGATGAAATTCTTTGTCACAAAGTTTGGCATTTTTTATAAAATCAAACGCGCGTCATTGAAACTCACAATATGTAAATAGCATGTCATTTACATCATACCTTGATGGGGAAAAATAGATCTTATATGTTAGAAGTACTAAATAAAAGTTATCGTGAAAATGAGACAGTCATTCTCGAGAGAAAAGAGCATAAATGCGCATTTAGAGAGTTTTGGTCCGTTTAAAAATCTGTAAAAAATTGGGGTACTTAAAAGCATCGGGAGGCATCATATATTTCAAATTAGACACGAGGAAGTCATTATTGAGCAAGTTATGGCTATTTTAAATTCAAATAAAACCGTTAACCCGTGCCGGTCCAGCTTTTGACCCGTGCCGGTCAATTTTCGTTAGCTGCGTATACCAAGGGTGAAAATGTGATCTTTTAATGTGTATCTGCATTTTGTGTACACGGGTCAAGCAAACAGACATTACCGTGAATTTGAGATCCTGTAGTGTCACTTTATTTTAAGGCAATTTACAGAAGTAAAGATTGTATCATTCTCTGATTCATGCCTTGGAGAATCAATAAATGTCACCTTATAGGATTTTATTTGTACTGGTGCCTTTTTAAGGCCAAACATACATCCAACAATTACAATTTTCAATTACAGTAAGAAAAGTAATAAAGTAGAGTAATGTAACTTTCTCATGTTTCGTACCCCTTATTTATACTGGTTTACAGACATAATAATATGTGGAACTTAAATTGATTTAGTAAAATATAATATGAGAATTTCTTTCTCATGATTTGTGCCCTTGAAATACATAATGGCTGCCATAATCTTGAATTGGCAGGAACTTTGAGATTTCATTGTTATATCCTTTTCTGTGCAAACAAATCATGACAATGGTATAAATCAATGGTACATTGTAAATATTATATTGTCACATATTTCAGATTCGTGTGTAACATGTTCATCGGGATTTCCTTCTCTGAAGTTGTGTGAAGTCTAACTAGTCTGCTGTGTAGACTCCACTAAGAAATTGTCTTATGTGATGAATGGGGCTTGAACAAAACTGACAGTTGACCATTGTGTCATCAGCAGGTTCTGCCTCATTCCATGCACCACACCATCTGCACCTAAACCCATGTGGGCTGTCGTCATGAACAAACCTTCCAGAATATGCATGAACGGGACCAAGCTCAACATTGTGAACTTCCAGTACATTCATTCTGCCACTTGTATCCCCACATGCAATGCGGAAAACTTTGTCAATTATATAAACATCCAAACTTGTAACACCACAACCAACATAGTACTTCCAGATACGATCCAGATTGCTACTATTCCATAGTGACACCCATTTATCCATTGAACCAGTTACAAGAAGTTCCCCATCAGGTGAAAACTTGGCAGATGATATGTCATTCTCATGTGCAGTGGTGTTAGCAATGATATCTAGAGAGGGGATACTTCTAACTTGTAATTGTCCTGTCCTGGTGCCCACTGCAAGCTTTGCACCATCAGGAGATATTCTGGCACATGAAAAGCCATGATGACCCCTATGAGGGTTTATTGTTCCCCCAGAAGGTCTTGTTTTGTCAGCTTCAACACACTTCACTTCATCAAATCCTGGACCAGCTTTACGTTCCCATAGTTTAAGTTCACTATTTCTTGGTTGTGGAGCATCATCATAGCTACTGACCAATTCAGCTGTGTAATCAGCACACCATGTTATTTATCGCATCCTACGACCCCTTTAGATTGTGGTCGTAGGCCCGTTTCATTCGTAAGCCTGTCTTTCTACAATGTCGGAGAATGAACTACGCATTGCGCTATTAAATGACCTACCTCGATACATTCTAGAGTATTTTAAAATTCTTTTTATGTTGTTAGATCGCCAATTGTATGGGTTTATCGTCAGAACGAAGAGATTTTAGTTTTTACATCGGAAATATCTCAGCAATTTTCAAAATGTCGGAAGGGGAATTCCCCAGGGATTTCCCTTATGACTGGTGCATGCCGGGAACTGAATGGAGGAATTTGACGGTTGAACCTACACGCAAATATTGCTATCAAAAACGAAAATATCTTCGTTCTGCCGATAAACCCATACAATTTGCGATTCAACTATATGAAAAGAATTCTAAAATACTCAGGAATGTATCGAGGTAGGTCATTTATGTGTGCAATGCATAGTTCATTCTCCGACATTGTAGAAACACAGGCTTACTAATGAATCGGGCCTACGACCACAATCTAAAGGGGTCGTAGGATGCGATAACATGTTATGAGGTAACGACCAGAATCAGAGAAGTGGCCACCCATTGTATCTCCATTATGTGATCCAAGCGCTATCTTTGACTTGTCACCATTTCTTTTGCTGATCTCAGATGCTGAATAGATGCAGGCCTGTCAACTGTCCCGCAATTTGCGTATTTGTCACGCATTTGCTGAAGAATTTGAAGTCACGCCAGTTTTTTTTGCGTGACACAAAATGTCACGCAAATACGCATTTTACCTGGTAATTGTCACGCAAATATGTTTCTGTAAAATTTTTTTCAAAATATGTTTATGATACGGTAAAAATACGAACGTCGGAAAAAAACGAACGCAATTTGTTCGGATTTGTCACGCGAATCCCGTATATGTCACGCATGTTCATTGGAAATTTTCGTGACGATTTTTCATGACGACTGCTTGGTGAATTAGATACGAGCCAAGTACAGTCAGGAGTAAAGCTTAGTTCTCCCCTGCCAGCAATATAGTGGTTGTATCCTTTAATTTCAGACATTGCTACTCTATTAATTTGCTCATGGCATACATCGAAGCCATGGCCTGCATTGACAAATGTTGACGCTTCATAAACCTCTATGTAACTATAATCAGAATAACGTCCTACCCTGACACAACAAAATCTGCCACAAGGACAATATTGAATACTCCTGTGCATATCATTGAAGCCTTTAGAATATGTAATCATATCTCCTGTACGGCTATTCCAAGAACAGAGTTCAGCATAGATTCCACCTCCTCTATCGCCACCTGTTACAATTACATCCTGTTGGGGTTTTATCCCAAGAGCTGTACATGAGTAGTTATGTAATTCCTCTGGGGGCTCATATTCAAAGCATTTGTCAACATCCCATACCTTGACAAGTGAATCAGCTGCCCCAGTTACACACAACTTTGTAATACCTGCATTCCCAAAGTCAACAGATTTCAGTAGACCACCATGAGCCTTGACCTCAAACTTTTGAGAATCCTTCCATAACAAGAGCATTGATGCCAATGCTGATCCATATACATTCTCTGTTGTTGTGAATGCACCTGAAGAATGATGGATGTCAAGAAATTCATATAGCATTGTAGAACGGTTGTTGTTATTGCCTGAAAGCATAAATCATTAACACTGTCAGTTTATTTTGTCCAATAATAAAACATATTATTACCACCTTGCCGGGCCAGTTCTAGGGGTTAACATGCAAAGTGTTACCACCTGTCATTTGTTAAACATACCATTTTTCAAGATTCCATGTTACAGATGTTTAACGCCACCCCCAAAAAGGTTGAGATTATAACAATACCTCCACTTGGGATTGTGAAATAAAAATGCATGCATTTACAGAATAAATGAAATGAAATACTAGTCACATTTTATATAAATCTCACCTTTACTCGGAGTAATAAGGCATACTTCAAATGTATATGGTGTTGATATCAGCAGTCTGTAGGTTTCACCATTGGAGTAATTCTTGTCAAACTCCAAATAGTGCAACTGGTAATTCTCTCCATCAATCACACAGGCTGTCTCCAAAGTTTCATTTCTCACCACAGCTCCAAGGAACACTCCAGCTCCACTCAGATAAGTTGGAAGTCCAAACCCTACAGCAATGTATGCATTATCAGGGGAATATGCCAGAGCTTTTATGCCAAAATTCCATTCTTTTCTATCAGAATGTAATAATGCTATAGCTATTTCATGTCGTGCCTTCATCTTCAGGAGAACCGGCTTCTTTAATTCATCACCTGATTGGACAGTTAAAAGTTCAGATATGTCCCATAGCTTGACTTCTCCTTGACCTCCCTTCTCTTCATTTAAAGTGTGACATGATCCTGTAACTATCCGGCTACAATCCTTGTCATTTACTGAAGATTCTACTGCAATGGTTTGGACTGGTGTACCATTAAAAGCTTGGAATATTGAGATTGGAACAATCATTGGTTCTTTCCCTTTGAAATAGCTGAATGCAACTCGCCATACATATACACTGCCATTTTCACATCCTACAAACACTGCAGTGCCACATGGAAGGGATGTGTTAAAGTAAGCCTCAGAACTTGGTAATTCTGTTATAGCCATGGTTCTAATGGAATTCTTTAGATCTGATTATTAGTCCCGACCCCGACAAATGTTTTTCACAGATCGGGATATGATGAATCGAAGTTACACTGTCACGTAATTTTATAGGGCTCGCGGGATATTCACGAAGTCAAACACCTTTATCCCGTATGAGCACTTTGTAGCACTGAGCTACGGGACAGTCAGGTTTTCAAACCCACTGTCCCGTACCAGCGCTTGGTAAAAAAATTTGCTGCGGGATAAAGTGATTTCAAAACTTGACTAATGCTGATCAAAGTATATGCTATCAAGCCATCACATACATGTATCTCTATGTAATTACCATACTATATTAACCCTTGCAAAAAATTCCATTTTTCATCTTTGTACTGAATTATATCAACATCAGTCTTTTATCTTTGAAATGTTGCTAAAGTTTATTGGGAGGGGTGGCATGTACACACTTGATTCAAAATGCTATTGTTTGTGTGTGAGGGGGGGGGCATCTCCAGAGTTGACTCACATCATGGTCTATAAGAATCACAACTGTCACAAATCATCATTCCATCTGGTATCATTTAAATATCCTTGAATATGATTTGCAGTATGTACATAAATCCTTGTGTGCCATCCTGTATCATATATTATGCCTATTGTTAATGTTGCATATGTCTTTTTATTTTTTAATCAGCTAATATATATGGATATAAACACTGGTGAAGTAATGTGGTCATTCCTCAAGCCCTCCATATCATTTATCATCCTAATTGTTCATATTTCAACAGCTCCTTCCAGTGAATTAAATAAAAGTTGTTCTTCACGATAAATACCGGTGAAGTATTGTGGCAATTCCACATGCAATCTGTTTTTCCATCTATTCCCTGCTGTTATTCCACCATATTCTATCTATATGTTTTTGACATGCTGATTACCATGCCATACATCCTGAAATAAGCAAATAATATTTAAATTATTTTCTTTTCTGTATTGTGCCTTTTGTTCATTTATCATTCACTTATGTCCAGTAAATTGAATAAAGTACTAGAAATATGCAAACTCCATAGCGCAGCAAATGCCAAAGAACACTAAATTCATGAATCTGTATGCCACAACATAATATTTATCATCTACCTTACCCTTGATTTGCAAATATCAAAAAAAAACATTAAAATGTTACATGTATATCAGAATAATCACCAATTCAAGTATTTGGGTGACCATTTGTATTAGATCATTGGTGTGGCGGGGGGGGGGGAGGCACGATGGGTGCAAACCCTCTTCCCCATAACCAATAACAAAATGGCTCCACTACTTTTCGAGTAAGAGTAAAATGAGTAAAAAATGGTGGTCATTTTGAAAAATGGCTGCCTTTTACCAAAAGTGTCAATAGACAGTGTGCCATGCTTATAGTATTCACATACCAAATATGAACAAAATCGCTCCACTACTTTTCAAGTTATAGTAAAAAATGTAAAAATAATTTTACATAATAATATAATAATAACATAATAATAATCAAAATGGTCGCCTACTACCCAAAGTGTCATTAGACAGTGTGCCATGCTTATAGTATTCACATATAAAATATGGACAAAATCGCTCTACTACTTTTTGAGTTATAGTAAAAAATGTAAAAATGGTCACCATTTTTCAAAATGGTCGCCTACTACCCAAAGCGTCATTAGACAGTGTGCCATGCTTATAGTATTCACATATAAAATATGAACAAAATCGCTCTACTACTTTTTGAGTTATAGTAAAAAATGTAAAAATGGTCGCCATTTTTCAAAATGGTCGCCTACTACCCAAAGCGTCATTAGACAGTGTGCCATGCTTATAGTATTCACATATAAAATATGAACAAAATCGCTCCACTACTTTTTGAGTTATGGTAAAAAATGTAAAAATGGTCGCCATTTTTCAAAATGGCCGCCTACTACCCAAAGCGTCATTAGACAGTGTGCCATGCTTATAGTATTCACATATAAAATATGAACAAAATCGCTCTACTACTTTTTGAGTTATAGTAAAAAATGTAAAAATGGTCGCCATTTTTCAAAATGGTCGCCTACTACCCAAAGCGTCATTAGACAGTGTGCCATGCTTATAGTATTCACATATAAAATATGAACAAAATCGCTCCACTACTTTTTGAGTTATGGTAAAAAATGTAAAAATGGTCACCATTTTTCAAAATGGCCGCCTACTACCCAAAGCGTCATTAGACAGTGTGCCATGCTTATAGTATTCACATATAAAATATGAACAAAATCGCTCTACTACTTTTTGAGTTAAAGTAAAAAATGTAAAAATGGTCGCCATTTTTCAAAATGGTCGCCTACTACCCAAAGCGTCATTAGACAGTGTGCCATGCTTATAGTATTCACATATAAAATATGAACAAAATCGCTCCACTACTTTTAGAGTTATAGTAAAAAATGTAAAAATGGTCGCCATTTTTCAAAATGGTCGCCTACTACCCAAAGTGTCATTAGACAGTGTGCCATGCTTATAGTATTCACATATAAAATATGAACAAAATCGCTCTACTACTTTTTGAGTTATAGTAAAAAATGTAAAAATGGTCGCCATTTTTCAAAATGGTCGCCTACTACCCAAAGTGTCATTAGACAGTGTGCCATGCTTATAGTATTCACATATAAAATATGAACAAAATCGCTCTACTACTTTTTGAGTTATAGTAAAAAATGTAAAAATGGTCACCATTTTTCAAAATGGTCGCCTACTACCCAAAGTGTCATTAGACAGTGTGCCATGCTTATAGTATTCACATATAAAATATGAACTAAATCGCTCCACTACTTTTTGAGTTATGGTAAAAAATGTAAAAATGGTCGCCATTTTTCAAAATGGCCGCCTACTACCCAAAGCGTCATTAGACAGTGTGCCATGCTTATAGTATTCACATATAAAATATGAACAAAATCGCTCTACTACTTTTTGAGTTAAAGTAAAAAATGTAAAAATGGTCGCCATTTTTCAAAATGGTCGCCTACTACCCAAAGCGTCATTAGACAGTGTGCCATGCTTATAGTATTCACATATAAAATATGAACAAAATCGCTCCACTACTTTTAGAGTTATAGTAAAAAATGTAAAAATGGTCGCCATTTTTCAAAATGGTCGCCTACTACCCAAAGTGTCATTAGACAGTGTGCCATGCTTATAGTAAAAAATGTATGCTTATAGTATTCACATATAAAATATGAACAAAATCGCTCCACTACTTTTTGAGTTATGGTAAAAAATGTAAAAATGGTCGCCATTTTTCAAAATGGTCGCCTACTACCCAAAGTGTCATTAGACAGTGTGCCATGCTTATAGTATTCACATATAAAATATGGACAAAATCGCTCTACTACTTTTTGAGTTATAGTAAAAAATGTAAAAATGGTCACCATTTTTCAAAATGGTCGCCTACTACCCAAAGTGTCATTAGACAGTGTGCCATGCTTATATTATTCACATACCAAAATATGAACAAAATCGCTCCACTACTTTTTGAGTTATAGTAAAAACAGCTATAAAGTGGCAGCCATTTTGAAAAATGGCCGCCTTCTACCAAAAGTGTCATTAGACAGTGTGCCATGCTTATAGTATTCACATACCAAATATGAACAAAAACCCTCCACTACGTTTTGAGGTACAGTAAAAACCATTAAAATGGCAGCCATATTGAAAAATGGCAGCCTTCCACCAAAAGTGTCATTAGACAGTGTGCCATGCTTATAGTATTCACATACCAAATATGAACAAAATCACTTCACTACTTTTTGAGTTATAGTAAAAAAAAGTAAAAATGGTGGTCATTTTTCAAAAAATGACAGTCAGTGACATGGTATGATACATGATATGACATTGAGTGCCATGGTATGTTACAAATATGATAGTAAATGACATGGTATGTTTCAAGATATGTCAATGAGTGACATGGTGTTACAAGATATGACAGTGAGTAACATAGTATGCTACCTGATTTGACAGTGAGTTACGTAGTATGATACAAGATATGGCAGTAAGGGACATGGTATGATACATGATATGACAGTGTGTGACGTGATATGTTACAAAATATGACAGTGATTGGCATGGTATGTTACAATAAATGACAGTGAGTGACATGGTATGTCATATGATATGACAGACTGTGACATGGTATGATACATGATATGACAGTGAGTGGCATGGTATGTTACAAGATATCGACAGTTAGTTGAATGGAATGATATAAGATATGACATTGAGTGACACGCTATGTTACAAGATATGACATTGAGTGACATATGTTACAAGATCAGACAGTAAGGGACATTGTATGTTACAAGATATGACAGTCTGTGACATAGTATGATACATGATATGACAGTGTGTGACATGGTATGTTACAAAATAAGGACCCACAGTCCTGTGCTCACACAGTTTGGAACCTTCAGAGGAATGTATATCCTGACTTTCAAACAAAACTATTGATTTGGATTTGTAGTCTCCAACTTTGAGAAACTTAGATAGCACAGTTGTGTGACCTAGTTTGATGACCTTTGACCTTGAAAATTTTAAATTAATCAGAGCTCAATAAGGTCTTTCGTGATTAAGCTCACCAAAATTTACATCCAAAAACTCAATTTGAAAAATCGATAAAAAGTTTTTATCAACTTTGAAAAATTAATTTTCTTTGAAAATGTGACTTCTAGCTCGGGGAGATTCCTCATAGACCCCATGCTATAAAATCACAAAAAATGAAATATCTTTTCTTTTAGTGGACAGATACTATTTTGCTTTACCGGACATATTTTCATTAGTATAAGTATTAGGCACATAAGGGTTATATGAAAATTGAGCCACTTAAATTGATAATATTCAAGTTTAAGGGAACTTTCTTATATACCTGCCATGTTAATTGACCCGAATCAGCCACCTGGTGGTAAAACTGGTAACTACCTACTCGCATTGGGTAATTGTTACAAGATATGTCAGTGAGTAACATGGTATGTTACAAGATATGACAGTGAGTGACATGGTACGATACAAAATATGACATTGAGTGACATGGAATGTAACAAGATATGACAGTGAGTGACATGGTATGAAACAAAACATAACATTGAGTGGCAGGGTGTGTTACAAGATATGACAATGAGTGGCATGGATTGTTACAAGGTATGACAGTAAGTGACACAATATGTTTCAAGTTGTGACAATGAGTTACATGGTATGTTACGATATATGACAGTGAGTGACATGGTATGTTACAAGATATGACAGGGAGTGACATGGTTTGACACATGATATGACAGTCAGTGATATGGTATGATACAAGATATGACATTGAGTGACAAATACACTATCAGTCCTAAACTGATAAGCTGAATTGACTGATTCGGCTTGAAA